GGGAGTTTTTAGTTCACTGATATCCAACCAAGACTTCTGCTAATTCTGGTGAAAAAGTGGTCTGATTAGAAGAAGTTATGTTACTAATAAAAAACATGAAACACATGGCTTGTGAAAAGCAGCCGGTGGCAGCAGTGGTCCTCAGCACCCCGCAGCCCCCCAGCTGTGGATGGAGGTGCCACAGCCCCAGCACCTGGAGGAGGTGAAGGAAGGAAGGAATTGGAGTGATTGCTTTTCCAACATGGAGCCCAGGTTTGTTGAGAACAAGGAAGAGCTTCAGAGACACGGCCAAATGCAGCAGCCAACCGCCCTCAGAGCAGGCAATGTGCCACAGTGGGGTCCCCTGGCACATCCCACAGCAGTGGGAAATAGGCTTTAGCAGGCAGGCGTAGGGCTTGGCTTAGTGATGTTCACAGCCTGAAGCATCCCAATTACAACTGTAAGAAACTTGAGGATGCACATTCTCTAAGAAGACCTGACTCTCAGACAGCTCAAGATGGGCACTTCTTCACACACCAGCAGCTCTAGATGCACCGTCAGCAGCAAAGTATTTTAGTTCTTTCGATTTGGTTCCTGGCTACCATCTAGTTAAATTAGCACCTGGAGATGAAGAAAGGAATGCCCTGGTGACATCCTGTGAGTGATTTCATCTCAGCAGAATGTTTCTCCAGGCCAGGAATGCAGGGGGACCTAAGCCAAGGCAGGGAAGCTATCTTTGCCAGGAAAGGCTTGCTGTGCCAGTAGATGAAATAGAAACAGATAGAGGCATTATTATTGGGTGACTGCAGGAAAAACGTGTGAGTGGAAGGGAAGCTCTTTTCATGGTTTTCATAGATAACACATTTTTTTTCAGGTTGGTCTGTAGAAGTGGCCTTTTTCAATGTTGAAAAACTAAATTGATTGTCCTCAAGGTATTTTTGAACTTTGTCTGATCTTTGCAGGATGGCTTGTGGAATAGCATGCAGTGCAGTTGCACTGAAACAAGTAATGGTACCAGCACACTGCGGCACATAATTCTCTCTGCTTCCCCATCACAGTTTTTCATCCAACATGACAAAGGCCACGTCCTCATGAAAGCAGATGGAAGGCATTCCACACTTCATGTAGAAAAGCAACAGCTGAGCACCTGCTGGGAGGACAGCTGCTTTTTCGTGATGATACAGTTTTCATCACACACACTGAAGATGAATTTCAGGATCTCCGCATTATTTTTCTGTTAGTTTATGATTGCTTTGGAATAAATACCAATCTAAAAAGAGCAACAATCAAGACTGAGAATGTGTTGGCTGCTCCTGGAGGTTCAGGAGTAAATTCTCCACTCTGGATCAGTGTTGTTGGGTGACTGCTTTCTGTTTTGGGAAGGCAGCTACAATATTCTGCTACCTGATTGAACGTCTATGGTAAAAAAAGGAGCTAACACTGAAAACCAAAATATGCATTGACCCAACACACATTTGACTGTACTGTTGAGGAATTGCAAGACTGGGGTAGTCTGCAGTAGGCACGACAGAGTGGTGAATGTCCGTACCATTGATATCACAAGCTGGGAAGATGCTGCTAGCAATAGCCCCTGCTGGAAGAGTCTGTTAGATGATGAAGCCTAGAAGCTGAACAAAGGTACTGAGAGTAAAGCAAGTAAAAAAAGGTGAGGAAGAATAGCCATCCTCTCGTCTCATTGACTCTTGTCTTATTAAGGGGTACGTTCATTTTGGAGCTCCACAGCCGCTTGTGATGTATTATACAGCTAAACTAGTGGAGTAATTTACAGCAGTGCTTTTCAAGATGGATGCATGCCACACATACCTACATCTGGATATAAGCGTGACTTTAAAGAATGCTGGGATAGAACTACAGAGGTACAAATCTGCCAGGAATGCAGACAGCCTGCATCACCAGAGCACTTATGACAGAGAAATTTCTGTTTTCAAATTCTCACTCACCTGGGTGAGAGAAAGTTGGAATCATTCACATGACAGAGGAATCCTCTACTTCCACAAAAATGGTAACTTGGTGCCAAGTATCATACCATGTTATTCTTTTTTACAGGAAGTGGTGGAAAATTGGAAGAAGAGACTATGAGGTCTGCTCTGCATTTGATGGAGCTGTTGTCTGGAAAATCCCAGTAAAGCTTCATTTCCCTGGGAGTACAGACAAACTAGCAGTGTACATCCTGCTTGTGTACTGGCACCACAGTGTGCTAGATTGCATGCAGCTGTGTGATACACGTGTGTACATGAAGCACACAAACACAATTTGGGAAGCACTGAACTGAAGACAAGCCAACAGACTGACAATCAATGAAACAAAACAGTCACAGGGTGACTACATCAGTCTTGATTTTATCAAAAGCAAAGCTACAATGTGACAGCGCTAAATGCTGAGGAAAACTCTCTGTATGTGGAACACCATGATATAGCAGCAGACTTTTTTTTTGTTAAAGGGATCATAATAGGTTTTAAGTAGACAGAATAACAGAGCTTCTATCCTTTGCTTTATGCATGCATAGCTGCTATTTTCTTTGTTTGTATAACTAGACCCTAGTACTTCATGTTATGGTTGTCACAGTTGCTATTTAAATACATTTCTTTTGTTTAATATGTTACTGGAATTAATTAAAATAGCAAATCCTCCTGGGAGCAGTAGAATTAGCAAGGCCTGATCACCGGGTGATTTCTGCTCTCCCTGTTGTCTTTGCTACCCCCACCGGCAGGAGCCGGGGGCTGCCAGGACGGCTAATGCTTGGCTGCTGCCTCTTCCTCGGGTAACTGGCTGGTGGCATCTGCCTCTCCTCCAGTGCAAGCACAGGTCCTGATTTCTGTAGCTTCTGTGAAGCCACTGATTTTTTTTATGAAACTTCAGTAAGTCTTTCTGTGAAAGCCGCATCACTGAGAATTGATCTCCCCATGCCAGATGGGGAAATTTGGCTAACACATTAGAAAGTCATTACATGGGAACCAGGAGACAGGTGATCAGATGGCAGAAACCCTGTAATAATCATTAAAAAACCCCAACCCACCGCACTTCCTTAATGTCTCCTATCTAAGAATCTCAAACTGCTTTGCCAATATTGAATCCATCGGTTCTCACTCAAGCAATGCCATTTGCCTGAGGAAGCGTAGCTGGAGCTGATCCAGGAGCTGGCAGTGCCTTGCGCAATCTCTGGAGATAAATGGCTGCAAGAATTGCCCCGTGCTTATACAGATCCTCCTGAACAATGAGTTTCTGCCTTCTAGGGCATATGCTGAGGTGCCCAAGCTCATTCCTAACATGTGAGTGTGGTGATCCACCTTTGCTAATTACCCACCTGAGAAGAAGGGTTAATTAACTGGGTGGAGAACTGTATTAATATGGTTATACTGTTTCTGAAATGTGAACCGGTGTCCTTATCCCTCCATCAGTTGTTGTTTGCAAATTTTGTAACTTCTGTTAGGCTTTTTCTCCTTTGAGAACACTTGAAATAGAAGGTGGATGGATTGCTGAGGGTGCATTTCATGAAGAAGTACTAAAAAAGGAAGAAAACTAAGAATTCTTGAGGCACATATAGGAGGGGTGAAGCAGGAACCCTTTTTAAGATCTCAGCAAAAACGTTTTAACATAACATGATGTGTTAGGAGAGAGAAAAGAGGATTTTAAACACACATTGAAAAAGTAATTTCTTGTGACAAAGGAGGCCTAATTGTCTTCCCATGTGAAAATAAGGTCCTTTTTGCTCTGTTCTCTTAAAAAAAAAATTGGCAACATTACACATATTGTTTTAAGTGAGGTTCTTCCAGCTCTTTATCTGCCTTAACATCTATTTTGTCTGCTTGTTTATAGTCATTCTAGGAAGTCTCTGAAGTGCTATAGAAATAGAAGGATGCTCCTAAATGAGAGGAAATCAGTTGATAAAAATAACAGTTGTCGAAAAGAATGATTTGGAGGGCTCTGCTGTAACCACTTATGCAGGTGGAAATGTTTCTAGGAGTGTGAGGAAATGACCATGTGTCACAGCCAAAGGAAATGCCAATTTATTTATTGGCTTTGTCAGAGTAGCCTTCTGCCTATAGGTCTGAGCCAGTGACAGCTTTATGGAATGAACCAGCAGGAAATCACCTTCCTTAGACGAAGGAAATCACATTATCCTCTAATAATAAATAGGAAGAGGTCCCTGCAGTCACAAAATCTGAAGAGACTTGTTTTATAGAAGGTTATGGCTGAGACATTCAAAGGGACCAAAGGTAGTTAAGCACTTTCAATCTTAAGGTTTTTTTGGAGGGGGATATTCTTCTTTATTTTTCCCCAATGGCAACCCCTACGTAATTTCTTCCCCCTAAATCCTCTGGAAACAATTCTCAGCCATTGGTTTATCTCATAGTTGTGATTTACAAAAGCTCAGGTTATTGTTACTGTTTTTTCCTCTACAATTGTAAAGGGAAAAAAGAGAAATCTATGTTTTTGAAGCAGAAGGGAAAACACCTCTCTGAGAGTGGTACTTCGGGTTTATCCTGTGAGAGTCAGCAACAACAGATATTCTCCACAGTGCTCTTTTCAATGCAATGGGACCTCATGGGTGGTTACTAAGGGGTAGTAACTTTGAGTAAGACTGCCAGTATTTTGACAACTCCATCACAGTGTTCGCCTCTGTTCAAGAGACTTATTGTAGCTATATTGTAGAGCTGAAGTCTGCAATTTCAGAGCAAGGGGGTTTGCAAGCATCTCACACACAGTATCAGTTGACAGGGTTTTATCCCTTTCTGTTCTGCTGTGATGAGCAATCCAGACTCTCAGAGTAACACAGCAAAAAGACAGTGCAATGTATAAAATATTAAAATAAGACAACTTTAATGCAGAAGCTTATGTTGCAGATTTTCACCTGCAGAATAGTGAGATGGTTGACACATTTTTTACTGACTGTATTATTGTTTTGTAGCACTTTGTTGGTTTGCTCATTTGATACTTTTTCCCACTGAAGGCTTATTCATACTCTGTTTTGTACTGTTCTTCTCCAGATAGAATCCTCTCCCTGCTACCTGCTGACCGTAAGGATCATCCGAATGAGAAACCTCCAGCGAGTGGACACCTGTAAGTATCTCCATTCTTAGTGGTCTCTCAGGGTACAGGTAACAAGTTCTCTTTTATAATTGTATAGCAACCTTTTCCAAGTGTTTCTGAAATAACCCAGTGTTTATGTAAACTAATTGTTATAAACCAGGTCAGTCCTTGCTGCTGGTTCATTGAATGTTATTCTTGTGCTTTCTGGTTGGTTTTAAGACTTGAATGTGTTTTTGAGGATAAGAACTTTCTCCCCCAAAAAAGGAGACTTTCTGACACAGGTAGATGAAAAAGACTGCATCCCATATTCTCAAAAGCAAGGGGTAATTTTGCCTTTGGGTTGTAGCACCTTGGGAACTGTGGCTGGACGGAGCAAACTTTTTCACCCCCCCTCCCCAGTCTTGGTTCTGACACAGATGAAATGAACAAGAAAAAACTTTCTAAAATCATTACCACCAGGCTAATGCCATTATTAATTACCCTGAAATGACTGTCAAAAAACGTGCTGACTGAGAGCTGGATGCCTTGTCCCTTCTAATGCTCTTGCAGCAGTCTTGCAGTTGTGCAAGAGTGTGAGTCACACAGCAGGAAAGTGGTGGGAAGTGAGGGAGCAGGAAAGGAAAATACCACTGTTTAGTTAAAGGACATGGACTATCCACATGTGCAGTGAGGAGAGGCTTTTCACACAAAATAGACAAATTAACAGTTCATTTTGTTTGAATCAATACAGCTACATGACCACCTGTGAAAGGATGCTGAAACTAGCTCTAGGGTGACTGTGGAAGGGAAATGGTGTACTCCTGCTGTCTCTCTTGACTCTCCTGTTTCACTGTGAGCGGCAGCGATCAGCACTATAGTTTCTTGCACAGGAAGAGCCAGGGAAGATGTTCTGAAAGACGAATATCTGGATTTACCACGCAGTACCTTTTCCATCTTACCCTGCAGTTGTCACATGTATTTCTGGATGGTATATCATAGGACTTCCCTGTGTCACAGCTCTGAACGAGGGATGTACTAGCCATATCTTAAGTCATATCATTGGGTATCTGCACCTGCACCTCCCTCTTGGTCCATGGCTGTGGCACATGTGTGATGATGCAATAACACAGACGGGTTTCATCAAGGACACATCTCAGATCTTCTGCGTGTCAGACAGCAAGACAAAATCACAAATAACTAGGTTGTAGAAAGAGATTGTGCAAGCAGAACTGAAGCAATATTTTGCATTAAATACACAGCTAACTAGTTTGCCTGCATCTACTCATATAATTAAGGACTGTTTGATATGCTTTTTATCTTAAAGTACAGTTAAGATATAAGAATGACAAATCACATCAGTAGAACAGAGTACTTTGCCAGCCAAACAGCCAATAGTCATTGATCTCCAATGATAAACCTAAAGTCATGCAGTAGTCATACAGAATTACTTTAAAAACAATTCAAAATCAGTATCACTACTTCTAGGATCTCCAAACATATTCAAATACCTATTTTTGCAGTTTCAAAATTCTTCAGAGCATTATTATCTGCATAGAATTTCCCAGAATAAAAAAAAAAAAAAAAGAAAATAACAAGCAGCTATACAGAATCAAACTGATGTTCATACAGTTCTCTGAGGGGGATGTATTTGGTAAGTCCACTGCAAAACCCTCTGACACTTGAGGAAATGGAGAAACAAAAGAAGCTGTAGAAAGGCACCAACTATGATGACAGATCTGAAGAAACTTTTACATCCAGAGGGACTAAATAGGCTACAGGCCTTAAGAGTGGAAGGGCAATTATTGAGGAGGACATGGAAGCTGTCTCTACAAAAAAGAATAAGAGAAAGTGAATAACGAGTCATTTTTCACCATTTTCCACAATGCGAGAATAAAGGAGCACCCAATAATATTATCAAACAGGAAGTTTAAAACAAATAGGAACTGTGGAACACAAGTAAACTGTGGAACTCATTGTCATGGGAATGTATGGTTGTTAAAATATATCTGTTTAAAAAGAAATTATTCGTGGAGCATAAGTCTAGCAAGGGTTATTAAACGCGGTACTCCCAATGCAAACTCTGGTTTGGGAACTCCTTACTCTGGCATTGCCTGAATGCTGCAGGGTGGATCAGCTGCAGTACTACTCTAGAATTAGCTTGTTTCTACTACTCTGGAGCAAGGTGTAGCAGGGCTATTACCTGGCAGTGAAATGATTAAGAATTTCTGTTTTAACATGAAAAAGCCTAATGTTTTTTCTTCTGTCTCATCCTTGGGAAAAAGCTAAACTCTTCCAGATGAGACTTTCCCAAAGTGCCCACTCCAAGACAGACATGCTTCCTGGAAATGCATAGACTCAATACTGGAATTTTACAAGTAGTCAGCAGTTAGAAGTGGTGTTTTAAGACAGAAGGAGAGCAGTCTTAAATATAGGTCTTAAATCAACTCTGCCTACAAATGAAATAAAGACAAGCAACTTCCTTTGCAAGGAAAAGGTGCAGATGAGAAACTGTTCCTCCTTCAGAGAGATAGTAATGTGCCTAAGCAAGGCAAAATGTATAAGGCAGCCAGGCTGGCCAGGCTGACTAGACGTACCCTTACTGGGGAGATGTTTGGTGTGAGCAGCCGATGTTTTCAATGTTAGCAGTCAGTCTCCTGGCAGCCTGCTGCAATATGCATCATCTGTGCAGTGCATTGTTTCTGCATTGTTTATGAAGAGAAGAGAAGAGAATATTTCAATTGGAAGGGACCTACAACAATCATCTAGTCCAACTGCCTGACCAGTTGAGGGCTGACCAAGTTAAAACATGTTATTAAGGGCATTATCCAAATGCCTCTTAAACACTGACAGGCTTGGGACATCGACCACCTCTCTAGGAAGCCTGTTCCAGTGTTTGACCACCCTCTTGGTAAAGAAATGCTTCCTCGTGTCCAGTCTAAACCTCCCCTGGTGCAGCTCTGAACTGTTCCCACGTGTCCTGTCACTGGATACCAGGGAGAAGAGCTCAGCACCTCCCTCTCCACGTCCCCTCCTCAGGAAGCTGTAGAGAGCAATGAGGTCGCCCCTCAGCCTCCTTTTCTCCAAACTAGACAAACCCAAAGTCCTCAGCCGCTCCTCACAGGACATGCCTTCCAGTACTTTCACCAGCTTTGTTAGTTACCTTTTGCAGTACATGATATCTGATCGTTTTATTGTTAAGAACTGTGTAAGAGAGAGTTTCAAGGTGCTGAAGTATTTTGTGTAACCTGCATGAAGAAACATTGCATTCCGCAGGCACACAGTACATCGCATTTTTGGCTGTAGCCATTTGAGATATACTTTAATTTACGTGCCTTTGAGAAATGGGATGGAATATTCTTCACTAACCTTCTCCCAGTGCATTTCTGGAGAGAGACTTGGTCCCTCTCTTCCTGAAGGTGGCATTTAGTTAAGAACCAATGTCTAATTCAATGAGCTCCTTCTGGAGGAAGCTTCTGCCACCTCCTACAACAGGGGTAGTTCCGCAGCTGCTTTCACAGACCCTCACCATGAAAAGCACTGAAGGCAAGGCAGAGATGGAGACTTTTTACAGTTGTTCTCAAAAGGTGGAGGAGGCTCCCATCAGACAGCAGCTGAAGGTTAGTGTGTGTGTGCATGCACACATAGCACAGGAACGCTTGTTCGTTGAGAAACTGAAGAAAGTGGCTGACTAGAAGAGGAAGTTCTCACTCTCTTCTTTTATACACAACATCGCTGTTTTCTGTAACTCATGCAAGAAACAACAGAAACCACCTCCTGTTCTAGGTCATCTTATGATATGTGCCTTTTCCCTCTCAGAAGGGTATCTTGGAAAGAGCTACATTACATCAGGCACTTCTGTCTTTAAATAACTCATACTTGCTGTTGGTACCACGCAGTAACTTTTCCAGTGTCATGCAGCACCACTGACTTTGCCACATGAACAATTGGTTTGTCTCTTTCCCTACCCAGTAAGCCAGGCTGATTGCTACGTGTCATTGTGGCTGCCGACTGCGACACGTGAAAAGTCCCGCACTAAAACTGTGAGAAACTCCAACAATCCTGTGTGGAACGAAACCTTCTACTTCAGGATCCAGAGTCAGGTCAAGGTAAGGAGCCAAAGTTGTCTGCTTGAAGCAGCCTGAAGATTTTGTGTGTGGTGGTTCCTATCTATCTCCTGAACTGTGCCCCGGAATTGTTTTAAGAGATGGCACATGATAAGGGACTGTTCAAGTTGTTTAACAGCAGAGATGACTGAGTTCCCATGCCTGTTCAATGGTGCTGTTTAGGAGGGCCAGAAACTGAGCTCAGTGTTGAAGTTTTAGGGAAACTAGAGACTCATATGAATCAGCGCAAGATGGATACAGAATTTGGGAGTTAACTAAGCTGTTGTGTAGGTATAGCCAATGTATTACTCATGTTACAGCAGTTAAACTGAATCAGGGAGGAATGAATATTTGATTTTGTGATGGGTTGACCGTGGCTGGACGCCAGGTGCCCACCAAAGCCGTTCTATCACTCCCCCATCCTCAGCTGGACAGGGGAGAGAAAAATATAACAAAAAGCTTGCGGGTTGAGATAAGGACAAGAGAGATCATTCACTAATTACCATCACGGGCAAAACAGACTCAGCTTAGGGAAAATTAGCTCACTTTATTACAAATCAGCCAGAGTAAGGTAAATGAGAAATAAAACGAAATCTCAGAACACCTTCCCTCCACCCCTCCCTTCTTCCTGGGCACAACTTCACTCCCAGATTTCTCCACCAAGCCCCCCCAGTGGCACAAGGGGGACAGGGATGGGGTTTACGGTCATCACATGTTATTTTCTGCCGCTTCACCTCCTCAGGGCGAGGGAGGGCGAGGGCTCATCACACTCTTCCCCTGCTCCAGCATGGGGTCCCACCCACGGGAGACAGTCCTCCATGAACTTTCTCCAACGTGGGCCATTCCCATGGGCTGCAGTTCTTCACGAACTGCTCCAGCATGGGTCCTTTCCACGGTGTGCAGTCCTTCAGGAGCACACTGCTCCAGCGCAGGGTTCCCACGGGGTCACAGCCTCCTTCGGGAACCCACCTGCTCCGGCGTGGGGTCCTCCCCGGGCTGCAGGTGGATATCTGCCCCACCGTGGACCTCCCTGGACTGCAGGGGGACAGCCTGCCTCACCAGGGTCTTCACCACGGGCTGCAGGGGAATCTTCGCTCCGGCGCCTGGAGCATCTCCTCCCCTCCTTCTGCACTGACCTTGGTGTCCGCAGGCTTGTTTCTCTTACATGTTCTCACTCCTCTCTCCGGTGGCTGTTTTCTCCGCGTCCCAACTATTTTCCCTTCTTAAAAATGTTATCACAGAGGCATTACCACTATCACTGATTGGCTCGGCCTTGGCCGGCGGCGGGTCCGTCTTAGAGCCGGCTGGTATGGGCTCACTCTCTCTCGAACACAGGGGAAGCTTCCAGCAGCTTCTTACAGGAGCCACCCCTGTAACCCCCCCCGCTACCAAAACCTTGCCACATAAAACCAATACAGATTTACAGTATGTTTTTCCAAAGGGGCATGATACTTCATTTCTCCACTTTTCTTCTCAAGCACATCCCCAACACTCCTTCTTCCCTAGGGCTAATGATGTCCAGACTGCAGAAACTATAAAAACCCCTTCTCCCTCTTTTTCCAGAACGTGCTGGAGCTGACAGTGTATGATGAGGATTTTGCTACTCCGGATGACCATCTCCTCTGTGCGCTCTTTGATACTGCTAAACTTCCAATTGAAAGAACAGTGCTCCTGTATTTTAAGCCCAGCCCGAAGGTGAGAGCAAAAAATAAAGCAACTGAGAAACCAGTGGAGAGTTATACAACACTTTCCAAATCTTGGGGTGAGATTTCTGAATCCACCATGGATGACTTATCCCAATAATGGGTACATGAATTGCCATTCAAAATATAAACACAAAAAATGTGGTAAAAAATCTGGATTTAAGAGCCTGAGCCCTTCCTCCCAGTATTTTTAGAAATTATTAATGAGCATATGACTGAAACAGTGCAGTAGGTAGGGGAGGGATCAGACTGTGAACTATCTCTGAGCAACACTGAGGCTGCACAGCTATTGCAGGGTGAATAATTTTTAATTTTTTTTCTTCCATGTAATTCATAGCCACTAACCCCTGTCCCTTTGATTGTATCTACTTTCACCCCAAAGGCAAAGCTGAAGTTGCCCCTGTGTGTATCCCAGCATTGTCCTCTGCAGTGATACCTCAGCTAGGGCTGAGCCTGCTGACTCGTCTGTCAGAATTAGTGCAGTTTTGGAGCTCTGAATGACTGATTTACCCTGTTTCTCCGTTTCCCATCTATAAAATGGGAAAAAGAGTCTTGATTCCCTTTGAGATCTATGGATGAGATCAGTGAAATATCTCGCATGCAACTTCTTGCTACCATAGGCAGATTGCTTCTGGTACCCAAACTAGGTCACTCACAACTAGCTCATACATATCAACACTGCCTTACAGGGGGGTTGCATAACTGTAATTCTGAATCACTCAATAATACCAGTCTCTGTTTATTATGTTAAAGTGATGGGTGGAAACTATCTTTAACTTCCAAGCTAATAGCAAGGACAGTAAGTCATGGCAGGACAGTGCCAGGAATAGTTAGGAGAAAAAGGTAGAATTCAGAAGAAAGAGCAAGTTGCAAATTGTCTTTCTGCAGCAGCTTCAGACTAAGACATAGAAGTACAGGTTGTTTTGATGATACCTTGAAGAAGGAAGGAGGTGAGGAAGGAATCGTTAAACTATCTGGTTTGAAATGGTATTTCAGACCTTCCAGTCTGAAATGTTTATCACAGGCTGTGCATTGCAACTTCAATATTGCATACCAGGGACCTGGGTTTAGACAAGGGAGAAAGCACTATGTAGCTACTTCATTTAATTTCTTGTTCTTGCTTTCAGGCCAAGGAGGAGCTAGAGGTTGAATTCAAATTGGAAGCCGCGTAAGTGATACACAGATTATTTTAAAAATGCAAAAATCATTAAATGCTAAAACAAAGACATAGCATTAGAAGTCATGCTTTGTGGGATTTCTGTAAAAAAAGTGCCAGACTTCTCCTGCATCATTACTGCAGTCTCAGACACCCTGCTGATACCTCCAATCAGCTTGTTCTGTAGTTTAGTTGCTTTCAAAGACACACCTCCCAGCATTGTCTCTTCTACCCACAATGTTGGATTTGTCTACCTAGGGATATTTCAGAAGACTTTCTGAGTGTGTGTGCATGAGCTTGTGTGTGCATGCATGTCTATCAATCTTTCCATGCCTGTTTCAGCTTATGCATTGGACAGACTCCTAATGTTGAACCATCCTGGTTAGGTTTCTAGTGTATCTCTGACTCCTTCGATTTTCCCTTGCAACACTGTTTTGGTCCTAGTAATTCTATTTTCTTTCTCTCAAACACAATGACGATGTGCAGGGCTTTTCCTCCAGCATGGTCAGCCTGCCATCCACATGAATCAGTATTTTTGTCTCTGTGTTGTCACAAGGTAAATAAGGCACGGCAGAAATAAAGTGACCGGCCTAAGGTCAGCCCTTGAACTAGTGGGGAGCCAAGACCAGAATTCACGTCACTCCACACCATCTCCTGACTTCACCTGAATGATCTGGAAAGCTTTTTTTTTCCCATGTAGCTGGTACCCACCGCCCTGTGCCCCTTTGATTGTATTTGCATACTATCAAATACATGGAACTGGGCTTCCCAACAGGGATATGCTGGCATATTAGCATGTTACCGCTGAAGTACGTGTACTTTACATGTTACAGTGAGGAGAAGAATTTGACTGCCTAGCCGCAGATTCCATTTTAGATGATCATGAGATTGCACTGCAAAAAAGTAGCCACGGTACACATTGCTCAGCTTTGGTACAGAGGCAAGTCACCTCAGAGCAGTGCTCAGTCCAAGCAGCCATGGAAAGGAGTGTGTTACATATCTGCTGGGGTCCCTCTGGCCATCCTTCTTCTAAATGGGGAGAAAAGGCAACACCCTGGGCAGGGATGAGTAGGCATTTGTTTGATCTAAAAAAATCCTTGTTTTTCATTTTGTTTCCCAGTTCTGGTCCTCATGAAGCCATTGCTACCAATGGAGTCCTGGTGGTATGTGTCTTTTTCCCAAGAAATTTTCTATAAGTGTTTCATTAATATAAAGGGGAAGGAAGGGTGGGGTTTAGACAAGCCAGTAGGCCGGTTCTTTCTCTTTCTTCCCTCTTTTGTATTTAGATACTTTGAGAATGGGATATTTTTTTGCCCAGTTCATTGGTGATATCCTATTATTTCCCATTTGTCCTATATTTCAACACAACACACACATGCGTGCACACAGAGAGCTTTCCTCTGGTATCAGTATTCCTTCAAAAAATGTACTGCTGTCTATCAAAGCACAGTGATAAAAAGACTGTGAAGCCACTTGCTAATAACCTACCCAGCCCTTTCCTCCTATGGGAGATGAGCCATGCCTGGTGGGTAAACTCAACACTAAATATTGACCTATCATAATTACATTATGTGAAACAAGAGTGAGCGCCGTAAAAAGACCCAACCCAAAATGTTAATAGCAATGCTTCTTCAGAAAACCCTTTCTACTACTGACTCTTGATGTCTCAGCAATGTATCTTTCATTTATGTTTTTCCCAGTTTAACCCTTTGTATCTATGCTACTATCCTGCAAATGCTCCTGATTTTCTTCCTTTGTATCTTCCTCTTACTGTGCCCAGTTGTATGTCATTGTCACAGGAGGATGCTCTACAACTCCCTCCAAAGCTTTTCATTTTCTTAGTCAGTGGCTGCTGGGCAAAAGGACAGAAATGCCAGGGAATTAGGCACTTCAGGGAACTAGACATGTCCAAAAGCTGAGTGATTCACAGCTCCCCGTAACAAGGTAGAGATGTGATGATCTTTCTCACAGATTCTCATTCTCATACAGTGTCGTGAACTTTGCTGTTTGGAAGTTGAAGTGGCGGAGAAGATGCAGCAAAAATCAAGTAGGGTTATTTCTTTCTTATCTATTTACCAATAATTGCATGCTTACTGATGAGAGGATGCCCCTTTCATATAAAGTATTAGTGGAATAAATAGTATTTACAGTATTCAGTGCAGTTAGCACCAAGTAAACACATTAGGTTGTTATTGATTTCAATGACTGCATCTTGTACTCCCTTAAGTATATGTAAATAAAGTCTATTAGACCTGCATTAATGTTGAAATCCCATTTCTATATAACATTGAGAACATTCAGAGCACCCTTTCTATGAAAATAGCATCTGCTTTGCTCCTTTCCCTTCACTGTCAGTACTCCCTTCAGAGCACTTTCCACTAGACAAAGCTGTGGTCCAAATTCTACAGCTCTGCTACCTGCACCCCACCTTTAATCAAGCCAGCACAATTTTGTGATTAAATCATAGTGATATTTCTCACGGCCTTTTTTTTCCTTTTTTAGAGAAAGAGCTTTCCCTCACTGTGAAGGGCTCCTTTGAGGGGACGCAGGATATTATGCTGGGCCCTGATGGAGTGGCCAGCCCGTCGGGTCCCACCAAGTTCCACTACATCAAGTATGCGGAGCCAACGCTGGACGTCATGTTGCCGAAGAAGAGGCGCTACCACCCTGTATGTTGGAAGTGACCTTAATGATGAACCGACCATAAGTGCCCCTCCAGAGAGTGGCAGGAGGGGGGAGAGGGTAAACCCATTACTGTTCTTGTCCTAAAGCATGTTGTTTTCCCAGTGGACCTGTAGGTACAGTACGGAGACGGGCTCCCCAGTCGTGATGCTGAATTCACTGCCCATGGGAAGGAAAACGACCATTGCAGAGGTGAGCATCGCTTCCAGCTGTTAGGAGTAAAATGTCACTCAGGTAGAAACCATTCCTCATAATATTGTCCCAGTTGGCTGCTAAGAGGGTCAGAAATGTTCTGATTTTTTCTCAGACCTTGAACAAACAGGAGCTTTGTTTCTCCAGCTGTTTTGTCCACAGAAGCAGGTTGTGCCTCCATAAGTCTCTGTTATGTGCCAGCAGTGGATACAGAGACCAACAAGGAGGTCAGAAAATGTGGTGATTCCTTCAGTACCTCTCTCCCTGTTTACGCAAAGTCTCACTGACCCCTCCTTTGCTTAGGCTCCAAACTGAAAGTTGCTTCTTGGACACAAGCTAGGAAAAAGTCAATAAACCTGCCCTTAGTGAACCATGTGCTTCAAAGGACAATATATTGAAATACATTGGAACTATTAGACAAAGCATATCGATTTTAAAGAATGTAATGAGAATATTGCTTGAAATAGATGTATGTGCTGTATAACTTTGAATGAAATTAATAGAAGAAAAAGATCCTTACTATAAAAAAATGTGTTTCTGCCAAGAAACATCTACAGAAGTCCAGATTATTAGGGACAATCTTATCCAAATATTAATTGTTATGTTGTGAACAAGTAGGAGAACATCGGATTCCAGAGCCATTAAAACATTCTTTCAGAACAGAGCACTTTTTGTCAGTTAATATGAAGGTTGCAATAACAATTTTAAGACAGGATGAAGTCTTGGCAGAAGCAAATGCAGACTTGCAATCTCTTCACTGTGAGAATGTGGCCAGGATGTCAAAGACCTGCTGTGTTTTAGAGCATAAAGAACGGGAAACGTACAAAAAAAAGATATTTCAGGATGCTGCAGAAAGCCTGTGAATAACACGGGAAATGGGACCGGCTGCATGAGTCTCAGGAACCTCCTATACCAAGATTGTTAATGGTTTCTGCAACCTGGAAGCATTTGGGATCTGTTGGTAGGGATGTTCTACTAAGGAAAAGTTAAGCTTTTGGAAATATATGCCAAGATTTCAGACATTTAACTTTGTGATTGCTAGACCTTGCTGGGGTCTAAATCAAGCTCTGACCCCAAGACAGAAAGGGAGAAAAGAAATTTTAAAATTAAAATTAAAAAATTACAGTACACATTCTTGTTTTCCAGGAGAAAAGATTTGACTTGAATGTGACAGCACAAAGCTGGTAAGAGATCTTCTTCTGTTCCTAAAGACTTGGGTTATTGATTTAGATATTGTTTTAGCCACATGGAAATTACACAAGCTGGCATTCTTAGTCTGAAAACTAGAGTGTGCTTTTAATAAAACATAAAATACATGCACAGTATATGGTACATAATTAGCCTTAGGAATATTTGGCTTTAATCAATAAATGTTGATAAACATGTATTTATTTTAGCATTATCCCTTCCCTTCTGACCACAGAATATTATTTTTGATCAACGTCAGTCTCTGAAATTCACAAAAAGAACAAAGCTGACTAAAAAAGCAGAATAGACAGGAGTAAACATTAAACTTGATCAGAATTTATGAACATTTATTTTTTCTTAACTGGCAATACACAGTAGCAATAACTTGGTATTCTGTTAAGTCCAGTTATACTGTATATTGAGTAGAAATTAAGTTAGACAATGTGGCTAGTGATTTGACATTTATAGACATGCTCTTTAATACTCATCAGTAAACATGAAGATGTTTCATGTTATCCATAGCTATATGTAACACACACAACTGTGCAAACTGATCTTTTTGTGTGTGTGCCTGATGAGGAAATAAAAGGGAAAGATAATTTAATTTTGAATTCAAACAGAGCTTTCTATCATTCATTTCAGAAAGGCCAGTGATCAATGACAAGAGGAAAACCAGTGTTATTCCAGGACAGGAAAAATGCTTCCCTCTTACTTATTTTACTTCCAGAGAACTTTAAAAGCAGTTTGTATCTTGATTTACAATGAAAACTGGCTTTTGCAGCTCCACCTAACTCAATTTCCCTTGCATGTCTTCATTTACAAATACAGATATAATAATTTGACTGATTTTATCCAAATCTGATGATGGAGAAATCTCATAAATAAATTTCACTACTAGTTTCATTAAAATTATGGACCCAGTAGAAGAGAGAAGTTCTGTCACTGAAAGAAAAAGCAAAACCCTGCCATTTTACAATGCCTGGCCAGGGCTAGCTGGCCAGCCAGGGAGTCCACGGGTAGCTCTGGCCTGAAGACACCATGCCAGATCTCTTGCCCATTGAAGTCTTGTAGGCACGGGGCAAGAAGTGACAGGAGGGAGGAGGTTAGTGAGCAGAAGAGCACAAAAGGCCGGGGTAATAAGCTACAACTACAACAGTGGCGTTTTAAGGAATGACTTATTAAATTTCAAAATTGATGCAAATGGATTCTTCCTCTGAGGAATATTATGGTTTATAACTTTTGAGTCAAGGTTGACGTGAAATACAACTGCCAGCATTGACCTGTGAGACAGCTTGTGCAAGTGCAGACAGATCAGAGCAGTGGGGGTGAAATCCTGCCCCACTAAACTCAGTGACCCATCTCCATCCATCCAGGGGCTGGATGTCACCAAGGTCATGCCTCCAGCGAGCAGGGTTACCCGGCCACCCATGCCTGGCAGGTGGGTGGATGGGTTTCCTCCCCAGCGGTGCTCACCGCTAGAGGGGGATGCCTTCCCACTCGAGTTCCTCAACACAAGAATTTCCCTTCACCTTGGAACCCTCAACATTTGAAAATCAGGTTTTATTCTAGATTTAGAATGAGAAAATATCCCATGAAATAGGAAAAATACACACACTTTGGACCATTTCCACAGATTTTCTAAACTTAACAATTCTTTTAGTTTTAGAATATTCATTTAAATGTTTTGTTTCATTTGTAAATACTGTACATTGTTTCTTCATCAATTAGTAGTAGCATGGTTAAGCTTACTAACTGAAATAAGTTTTCTTACTTTTAAAAGTAGTCAGAATATTCTTGTTCCTGTCACATTGCCTCACCATGTTTGAAGGGAAGGGTGCTGTAAATTATCTTTGATTGAAGTCCTAAGATCAATATGGGTGTGTTAATATGTAAAATATGTGCCTGTTTTTATCTTAGTAATTGTTCATGCCACCAAGACCTGGACATGCGCTTTGGGTTTGACTTATGTTCAGAGGAGATGGCTTTCCTGGGGAAAAGAAAGAGATATGTAGCAAGTGCCCTGAAAAATGTTTTTCACCTACAACAGGATCTGCAGGATCGTGAAGTACGTGTGTGTTGGGGAGGTAGATATTGAATTTCTAGTGCCTTCATGTACTCTTCTAGATGAATGGTCAGCAAAATGGGCCATATGTATCTGTTGTGCAGGTACCAGCTTGTCCATGTGTCTTAAGTACATTTGCTTCTGCTGCCAAGGTTTGTTATTGCAAGAAACACTAGTTGCAGTAATTGTGTCCTTCACAACTGTCAATTTGGAATTTGTCAGATTTGAGGTGTGTTCATCCCTGCCATCCTATGCTGTAACTGGCTTGGTTCAGAAATACTGTATGCAGATTAAATACATTACATAGCAAAGATTTCTTCCCTTGTTCAAATTTTGTCATTTTGTGAGAGTTCAGGATAAACATCTCTGAGTGCTTCTTATAACATCTTCCCTTTCTTGCAGTTTTGAAATTCCTTAAAATAAATACAGTTTACTTCAAAGTAACTTCACGATACTGAGGCATAACAGCATTGATGAGCGTAGCTTAACAACACTGGCTGTGAACTGGGTGTATTTCTTCATGGGGTTAGTATGTGGATTTTCATACAGTAGTAGTAGATGTGTGAAATAAGAAAAAAGTGGCAAAGGAGTAGGACGTGTAGAGAAAATACATTGTTTCCTCCACAGAAAGGTTTCTTCTTGTTCATCATCTGTGCCCCTATTTGCCCTAGAGATGGGCAAGAACCCAGGTTTGGGTTAATCTCCGAACCCATGTTTATCCAAAGGGAAGCAGCAGTAGCAGTCATTGCTTGGTTTTGGAGCCTTTCCTTCTGAAAAGGGACCTGAGCTCTTAGTTCAGGATCTGGGCTTTAATTGCAGTCTGGGATGCGATGTTGAACGCTGTTGGTGTGAATGTCCCATCCTCCTCTGCCCAACAGGTCCCCGTTGTGGCTATCATCACGACAGGTGGAGGACTGAAGTCAATGACAGGACTATACGGCAGCCTCATGGGACTGAAGAAATTAAATCTCCTGGACTGTGTAACATACATCAGTGGGCTGTCCGGCACCACGTGGTAAGCCAGCTTGTGCAGAAGGCTTGACCAGGCCTTTTGAGGGTGACGCTGCTGCAGAGGGGAGCTTCTGAAAGCAGACAAGATCAGATTTTCTTCAAACATCATAGAAACAAAATGTTTCTCAGTAACAGGCCATTAAATATTAGCTTGATCTGATACGCCGATTTTTTATTAGCAATTCTTTACTGTGCTTTTCAACTCCACCTTTGCAGCAGTTAAATATGTATATGACAATTACACCTGTCAAAATGGTTTCTTAGTAGTTATTGTGGATGTAACTGTGGATGCCCATAGCATCATGTCTCTTCCTCTCTCCGCTGATGTCCCAGTTGTTGTTCCCAGTAACTTCTGAGACTGGCTCTGCTTTCTAACTGGTCACGCAAAGAAAACTGCAGGACAGTGCACACTTACCCCTGCAACCTGTCAGTTTGGGAAGGGACTAAGTTCCCCTCGGCAGCATTATTCCCTGCTCACAGGATGTACAACTGCCGAACATCTGACGGTCCTACATAGGGAATGTTGGTAAAATAGAGGATGGTGTTAATATAAAGCATAGTGATACCATAAGATTAACAGTAAGTGATACAAAGCCAAGAGACAGCAGCTGGTGTGAACTGATTTGTGGTTCAAAAAAAAAAAAACAAGCAAAGAAAATTTATGATAATTTTCTGCTCAATTTGTGCTTCAGACATGTACCTATGTTCACACCTGGCAATTTTATCTCTTAAGCTGCTGCCAGTTCTGTTTAAAAAAAAAAAAAAAGAAAAGAACATAGAAAAAGACCCTTATGCTTCAGGGCCATCTTTAAAACAGTCATAGAAACTCTGGAGTGTTCATTCTGCTGGATGGAGCAGCAGAACGAGAGTATGTATGAGCAGAAGTGCATCCCTAAATGTAAACCTCTGCCCCCAAAGGCACAAAATTTCAAGTCTTTTTCTGCTCCTTTTGACTTTTGCTGTCTGTATTATCTTTCTCCAGGACCATGGCCAACTTATACAGAGATGCCTACTGGTCACAGAAGGACCTAGACTCGCATATTGGTGAAGCCCGGAAACAAGCAACCAAATGCAAGATGGGCTGTTTCTCTATGGATCGCATGAAGTACTACAACAAGCAGCTTTGTCAGCGGAAAGAAGAGGGTTACAGGACATCATTTATAGACCTTTGGGGGCTCATGATTGAGTACTTACTAAATGATGGGGTATGATGTATATTCCATTTCTTAGAGAACCATGTATTTTTCTCTTAGTGAATGGAGAGGAAACTAGCCCATCATCTGAGAGAATGTCCCTCAAAACAGAGTGGAGTTCTCCTTGTCAACAAACTCTCAGAATTTTTAATTTCCTTTAATGGTCTGCCTAGGGAGAAATGCATCCTATATGTTAATAAATTAGGTTATGGATGCAGCTATTTGAACTCTGGCTGGTATTTAAATAGAAGCAGAGGCAATCTCAGGCAGTCTGCCTAAGGTGCAGATTATGCATGCAAAAATTGTTCAAGATGCAAAGCAGAGTAATCTCAACAGTGTGAAAACGATCTGAAGCAAGCATGAAACAGCTAGAGTGCTTGGTGATTTGCATCCACTGGCAGGTAACTTGATCTGCAGGAACACTAGAGGCAGGTGCATATTTTACTTTTGCTGAGAAGGACTGCTCAGTCAGTAGCTGGTTTAAGTGATATTAATTTTTACAAGCAATAACAAAGTTGCTTTTCTATTATTTGAAGTGGTTTCTACCCCTACAGTACAGCAGTCCACTCCCTCTTCTCTCCAGCTGGACCACAGTTCAAGGATGTGTGCTTTGGCACTTGCCAAGCGGGAAGGGAAGAGTGGTTGGGGATTGAACAGAAGTGTCCTCCAGTGGGAACAGAAATGCTGCAGTCGTTCAGCCTTTCATTTGGGTTTATTTATTTATTTATTTTTATATAAGTACATATATATTATCATATATATGTAAACAGAAAATAAATACATACAGAGAGGAATACTAAACAAAGGTATAAACTGAATAGCTGCCTCTCTTTTAATATCACCTGGATGAGGTCCTCCTCACAATCTAGACAAACATCTTTCCCTTGAGCAGTGCTGACTATTGCTATGTAACCATTACCCTCTCCCTAATCTGTCAGAACTAGCTCCTCTTAAATTTGTCAGCAGTTCATGAGATTTTGTGTTTTTTACAAACCTCTTTAATGACAATATGCTTTTCCAGAAAAGAAGGGAAGCTGGGTGGGATGCAAATAATTTGCTACCAAATTCCAGTCCCCTTGCAACACTGGACTGTGATAGCTGTTGTGCACTAAGAAAGGAAACTCAATGCCGACATGCTCAATGGCTTTCTTCAGCCCCAGGAGAGCAAGGACTGCTCACTACGCTCCTCATCCTAAGGGGCAGCTTGCCCTTTCTCCTGCTTGCCAGGGCAGTGCTTTCTAGTATGTACAGACATGTATGCAGAAGTAGTTTTCCCTCTCTGCATCTTTTTGTGAACCCATGCACAAAGTCAGGCTGGACCCTGGGAGACTGGTTTGTCACCGGTGGGTGGGTGCCTGCAATACTCTGTGCAGTGGACCTGCCATGGCATGTCCTGCATGCTGGGGGCAGAGCCACGCGGCTCCTCCAGCACTGGGGCCATCGACCATGCATTGTTTCCATCTCTTCTCACAAAACTGTTTTTCTTCAAAACCAGAAAGACCCCCACAAACTTTCAGAGCAGCAAGAAGCACTGTGTGATGGCCAGAACCCACTGCCCATCTATGTGTCAGTCAGTGTCCGGGACAGCTACAGCACCAATGATTTCAAAGGTAAGGATGATGCTTCAGATCCTGTGGGGCTAAAACTGGCAGCTGAATTCCTGTGATTCACTCTTCTCTGCTGGGCAGCACTTGGAGAAAACAGTCCTGGTGTGTTACTTGCTTTTTGGAGAAATAACCATTACCTCCATGCCTTACAGTTTTAATACAAGAGCTTTTTGAGATCAGCATTTCACTGTCTAGACATACACAGTCAAAATCCTGCCAGAAAGGCCATTTTTGAAATATTATCTGATCCATCTTGAATAAGAAGTACTGGAATTTTCCGAGAATTAAATACTGCTTTTTGTCAATGCCCTGTTATAGTTTCAATATGAAGAAAGACCACATAGTTATGATAAAGTTTGGGAAAGCATCCAACCTACTCCCAACTGAATCTTTTGCTTTGCTCATTGTTTTGGTAATTTTTTTCCATGAGGAGAAGCAGCTGGAGGAGGAGAAGAGGCGGAGAAGAAATTCAGATCGAATTTTTTATGGTTGAGGTGAAAAGATGAACCACTTCTGAGTGAAAAGGAAATTATGGTCCATAATCTTTCTGTCCCGGTCTTTGCTCACACTGCAGTTATATCAGAAATCTGCACTTCACTTGGAGAGGATATACGAGAAAGTCAAAGACTAGTTCTGTCTTCCTTAGTAGCACACATACAGAGTATAACTGGCCTCTTACAAAAAGCTCCCTTCTGAAGGGCGGAGTACCTGTCTTTGTACATAACCAATTTATTCAAGGGAAGTTAAATTATCTGTACTGATAACAGTGGAAGTATTTTCACCTAGATGTGGCATACGCAAGGGCAGAGTGAAACCTTGCGCACGCAGGAGAACCCTGGACTGGTGCGTGCACATGGGGTGTGTACGAGCTGGAGCCTTGCCGTGCTTGTGCCACCGGCAGCACCGCCATGAGCAGCGTAACTGCCTCCCCATGGTCACAGTGTCTGAGCTCATCTGCCTGGCCCTGCAGGAGGTCACATATAAGCAAGGCTTTGCCAAGGCAGCGTAGCAAACAGAAGTCAGGCCAATGTGTGCCCCTCTCTCCACGCCCGGCTGAGAGCCCTCTAAGTGTCCCGTTGTGGCTGTATTGCAGAGTGGGTGGAGTTCACCCCCTACGAGGTGGGACTTCTGAAGTATGGCGCGTTCATTCGCACAGAGCATTTCGGAAGCGAGTTCTTCATGGGACGCTTGTTAAAAAAGCTCCCCGAATCCCGGATCTGCTACCTTCAAGGTGATGTATTGCGTTGTCTTGGCATGGAGGCACTTTGGAGGGGTGCAATGCTGTTAACCAAAGGGTAGATGTTTCTGGTCTAACATACTGAATGCTGCTATGATATCACCTGCTGGGAAATGGCAGTGGGGGGGTAGTTTGTTCAAAAGAGTACAGTAAAAAATCCCACATCTTCAGTTTCTTGTCACTGCCTTGGTCTGCGCAAACTTTTTAACTTTGTGTGCTATAGATGGAATAGATAAAGCTCCTTAATTCTTTCATTATAAGGAATAGTTTCCACTTCTTTGGTTATTCTTCCAATTCGTGTCCGAATGCACTCCAACTTAAGAAATTTTGAGACAGCAGGAAACCTGCAGCTGTGCTTCCACTGTGAGGTTTAACTTCAACTCCATGTAGAGAATCCCGTCTACTAAAGATGCAGGCTGCCCAGGATGAAAAATGAGACCAGAAGTGAAGGGTCTCTGAATCTCTCTGGTCAGTCCCTGACTTGTACTGATGGGTGTTTGTAAAAGTAATAATATCCCTTTACCGAGGAGTCAGAATCACTGGCAGGTGAACACAGAGCAGTGTGAGTTCGATTTCAGTCATCTATTCTTACACTTCTGCTGCTTAGAAGCTCCTTGGTTTCAGTAAACATGCTGTGATATTAAATAGTCCATAATCCCAAGGAGTATCTTTAAAATAATACCTCCTGGGCTGGCCCTTTTTACCTGGTCCACTACTGGGGAAATTAATTTTCTACATACTGTACTGGTGTATGCTGTACTGGTATCTTGTGCCCCACAGAAAATGAAGAAGTCCAATTGTGGTAGACTAATTAGAACACATATTTAAATTTACCATGGCAGATGAAATGGTGGCATTGTGTTTTGTCAACAAAGCCACCAGCACCCCTGTGGGGAGGCAGAGAGGGGCAGGCCTGGATGGAAAAGAGTGTACAGTGGAGCAGGAGCCCACTCTGTTTGTGAGCCTTTACATGCTGCAGTGTGAGATTTTCTCTTACAAACCAAATGGCTGAAAAGTCAGTTCATCCCACTGTGAAATAATACAGGGCATATGAAAGCTGATGAAAGTGTGTGCAGAAAAGGAAGCTGGAGTAAGGAAGACAGGGATGGAAAGGATGTTTTTATGATGTCTGCATTATGTGAGCTCTTATTTCGCTTCTTAAGTGAGTGGTTTTTTTCCTTTTACTTCTCTCCCACTCTCCTCTCTCTTTACCATGTGTCAGAGCCATGCGGTGGGTTAGGCACAGAACTGATGGCAGCATGACCTGAACCAGTGCCGTAGAAAGTTAAGAGGAATTTAACAGCCCAAAAGTTTAGAAATATTTGAATTAAGACCATTCAAAAATTAATCCAGGAGGTTAAAATAGAAGGACAAAGGCAGTTTCTTGTTAGAATGTGTCCTTGTGTTCACTAATTTCTTTTACAGGTATGTGGAGCAGTATATTTTCTGTGAACCTATTACAAATATGGGGACTATCCCACAGTTCAGAGGACTTCTGGATGAGGTGGACACAAGACAGAATAGAAGAAGTTGGTGAGAAATTGTTAAGCCTTTCACTTATGGTCACTTAGTCTTCTGGATGCCTTTTGGCATCATCCTGTCAACTATGTTGAAGCCAGCATCATAGGATCCTCCCAAGAGATAGCAACTTCCCCTCCCACCATAAAGACTGAGAGGAAGAGGGTAATCAGGGAAATGCTGCTGTAATTACCAAAGTTACTAAAACCCTACTGATTAAAAGGCTCTGTCCTTAAGAGGAATTTTTACAGGGGTCATGCATTTCTCAGGAAGTGTTTTGGCATTGCTCATTCATACTCAGCCATACAGAACCAAGAACCAGTGGCAGAGAATAAAGTTATTTTTACTGCCTGTGCAGAGAATAAACCTGAATATCAATTGGTTAATCAATATTTCCTGGGTTTATATTCTATTACTCGGTACGGTAATTACTGCACTGGATTCACCTTGGCACAAAGATAAATGAGGCCCAGAGGGTATTTTCTGAAGCAATACAGAAACCATGGTTTTATTGCTAAATCATTTAATATGATAGTAACTATAATTACAGACATCCTGAAAATAAAGAAATACATCTGTGCAATCATGGAAACCACCAAGCCTCTCCTGCTGCATTGTCAGCCACTTGGTCCAGCAAAGCAGGTTGTGATTTCAAAATACCACACCTTGTGCCGTTTCTACTTTTCACCCACATATGTGGCCATGTAGTCACCCTGAAAACTACTTGTAGTTTCTAAATACGAATGTATGCCCCAGGTTTCCCTGGGATGCTCTCACTGTACTGATTAAGCATATGGTCATGTAGCCATGGGTGATTATTGGGTAGAAGCTGTCACAGTTGCAATAGACCCCATGGTGCCCTGTTGTTGCCCATCTGACTGAGTGGGAGCATACGATTCAGCCCCATATTCTCCATGCTTGCCTCTGTTTCATGATATCTTCCTGTGAGGATATGTAACTTTCTGACAGGACATTCTCTGAATTGCTTAGTTCCCTTAAGGTGTCCCTTTTCCAGGACTAAAGACTGCTTCTGATGAACTGTCTTCAGGTCAAAGCTAAAGACCATCAGCAGAACTTTGTCCAGCAGCCACTCCTCTCCTTCAGAATAGTTTTTGTGTGCTTAGTGAATCATCCCAGAACACCCCCTGAGATCTCCTGCACACCAGGACAACCAGAAATGAACATCAATTAACAAACAGTTCACCAATCTTTCTCCCCTCCTCTAGATGAAGACCCAGTGTTGCCTACAAGACCCCACGAGCTGAGGACCCGCATGTACACTCCTCCTGGCCCCCTGTCCAGTGCCCTTCGGGGAGCATTGACTGACCGCTTCTCCGTTGCCCAGCACCACAATTTCCTGAAGGGCTACCAGCTGCATAACAACTACCTGGAGAACAAGCACTTCTGTCGATGGAAAGGTAATGGAGACTAATATTTAACAGGCATCATTTTCAGGTGGTTTTGGGGTGGGGAATTTAGGAAAGAACCCTGTCAGGCTTGGCAGGGGAAAAAAAAATCTCCTGAAAGGACATTTCTTTTTTGAATGGAGAGAAGAGACTAAGACTGCACTGTTGCCAGGTATTTAAGACTGTTTTTAAATGTAAGCATGTGTTTATGTGGTTTAGCTGAGATCTCTGTGGTCCAGACTGAAAGGGTAGGCTTGCAGCCCACAGAACCGAATTTAAAGAAACAAAGAGCAGAGTGAACATGGGAGAAAGCTTAACTTGGCAAGACTGTGCCTCTAACTTCAGATGCAACTGGAATATCCCAGAAAATATGACCTACAAGAGAAAGCTGGAAGGGAATGGGGCTTTGTAGCCCAAAGAAGAGGGGAGTGAGGGGGAGGCATAAATCCAAATGTAAAAAGGGATGGGAATATTTTGTTCTCCAAATCAATGATGGACAAAAGATGAAACAATGATTGAAATGAAGCAAGGCAGATTTAGGTTAAGTATTAGAAGTAGCTTACTGGCACTAATGAGTATGACAAGTTACTGGAATATATTGCCTGGAATCTCAACATAGAAGATTTTTCAGAACAGAAGCTTAGGTGGCATTTTGCAGACCTTCCCACACCTATTTGACAACCCAGTAGTGTGGCAATTAAATTAAACCAGGCCTCTGGGACAGTCAGTTCCACCTTGAATTTCTTTTTCCAGTCAAAATACCTACAGATAATTTCTTATTCCAAGAAATATTTTCCTTTTAGACACTGTGTTAGACTCACGTCCCAACCAGCTGATGCAAAATTCTGATCACCTGGGCATGATAGATGCTGGATTTTTCATCAATACCAGCAGTCCACCACTTTTAAGGCCACAGAGGGAAGTGGATGTCATCATATATTTAAGTTATACTACTGGATCTCATATATCGGTGAGGAGGATCTTGTTACTGTGTGTTGTCTCTCCTTTTGCTTGTAAATGTCCAGCCTGTAGCACCTGGAACTGCTAGTTATTTTAGCTGTTCAGTTTTTAACTACTGCATTCCCCTACCTTTTTCACTGTAGTGATTAATATCATTCCTATTTCTTCCTGCCACTCCTGGAATCTCTCTTGCTGGTTTATAAACATGTTGAATTATTCAAGAGGACATCAGCATAGTCTCTTTCAGAATGCTGGGAAGAGCCTCTTCTGCTTTATGCTGAATCAAGCAGGTTTCCAGACTCTGCACAGCAATATGCATAAAGATGAAGAAGTGATTTCTCCTGACTTAAGTTACAATATAAAAGGGGTTAAGTGGATAGTCAGAGGCAGATCATTCCTGGGTTGACAAATAAGATGCTACTAGGAAAATTCAATGATAAGCACCTTCCTGCAGAAACTTCAGTTTCATGGAAATAAAGTTAATTAGCTGTCTATAAGGCCTTGCAGAAAAGAAATTTGGGTCTTTATATCTCAGAAACTGAGGTTAGTTAGAAACTTGCTATTAAGCATCTTGGCCCACTTAAGTGGAATTATTTTTTGTGAATGAGAACACGTGTGCTGCTGTTAATAAGCCATATGATGCATGAGACACACACATAATGAAGTTTCGTTTCAGCCTCATACATTGCCTAGATTAATTTTATGAAGAAAGGCTGCTGCAATTTTAAGCACTTTAGTAGAAACTGTTTCCTATTTGATAGTGTCCAATGTTAGGTGGTGCAGGGTAAATAATACAGTACATAGTAGGACATGATATCGTGTTGAACATTTCAGGGAAAAGGTACAGTATAGCCTAGTACTTCAGACTTTCTCAGTAAAATATCAATCTCGGTTAACACGGTGGCCATAGTGCCTGCACAGGCAGAGACATAATTGCACATTCAAACTCAAATGTCTTATCTTCTGGCTTCCAAGCACATAATAAGATACCTTAAGCATTTTCTTGCTGTGTTTTTCTTTTCTAATTAATTCTATACAATACATTAAACATAGGCTCTTTCATTTACTAAAACTACATGCTTTACCTTAAACTTCTGCAAACTGCTTCCATTTTTTAAAAAGCAGAGTCCTGGATAAATTCTCTAACTCTGAAATTGTGTTTACAGCTTTTGATTAGCATTCTGGTTACTGTGTGTGGTAATTATGTGTAGAGTAACCCTTGATAAGAAGGAACTCACCCTATCGATCTGAGTCACTAAACCTTAATACTAGATAAGAGTTTGGGGGCTTTAAGACAGCTAAACTGAATTCCAATGCTGACTAATTCTGTGATAATCCAGTCTCTAGATAAGGCGTACAAATACTACTCAGAGCAGAAAATCCCATTCCCCAAAATTTCTTTGACTGATGAAGATAAGAAAAATCTGAAGGAGTGCTACCTCTTCCAAGATTCAGATTTGCCAGGATGTCCGATCGTGATTTTTCTTCCGCTTGTGAATGACACCTTCCAAGAGTACAAAGCACCTGGTAAGTTACAAGTGATGGCAAAGCATTAAACAAAGAACACCACTACCTGCTTCCCTGACTCAGACAGAGCCTTTTTCTCTGCTGATGGCTATCTTTGCTGGCTGGGTTCATGGTGGAGCACTTTAGCTAATTAAAATTTTTTTCCCCATCCCTGCCAAAGCTACTATGTTCATTCATGTCATCCTTGTGGCCCTAAGAGGACAGACACAGCCCTTGTCTTCCAGATGGTGTTTACCTTCATGTCTCTCCCATTTGTGACATAAAGTGTTGCTAGCTAACTGTAAAATTTTTTTCCTGGAAAATATAGCTGTCTCAGATTATTTTCCCCTGCATACATTGTCTGTTGTCCAGGGATTTCATTCTACACTTGAGGCGGCATAGTGTCATGTATGAACAGGGTAGGAGCAAGAACCTAGCTTTCAGGCTGAACTCCTGCAATGTCAAGATCATTGTGTCTCCTTTTGGTACAGCATCAGCCCAGGGGTCATTTTGCTCACTGTGCTGTGCTTGGGGCCTGTCATTCTTTTTCTGCCACGCTACCTGCTTTGTATTCCTCTCCTTTACTGCCAGTTACTAGGATGCATTTCCTTTGCTCCTTGGTAGCAGGGAGGTAAAGTCTAAAATTCTGCTTTTGTGGAGTTGGGGAGATGCAGGAAATGGAAAGGCAGAGATGGATCCTGGTGGCAGGCCCCCTGAGACTGCCTTCAGGATTGCAGGAACTTTAAGTTTCCATATATTTCTATTATTCCTTTCTCACTTAAATTCTATTCTGTTACTAGCAACTTGCCTCCCTCAGCCAGGGTTCATAGAGGTCCCAACTGCTCAGGATAAGACCTGCAGTGCACCTGCAGTGGCTATCGGAGTGCCCTTTCAGGCTGATACCCTTGACTGACCCATGGCTTTAATGAGTCAGATGTTTAGGAGTAAGCTGTAGATGACCATTACAGTGCCATCCCTCACCTCTCCCTTCTGCCCTCATCATTTCAGGCACCCAGCATTCTCTTGACTAGGGGTGGGGGTACCTGACCTGCGTTATTCATGCATTGAAACCCTATGAATTTTCTTCTGGAGAAAAGTCCCCCTCTTTGGGCTGCTGTGGACAGCTTGTCACTGACTGAGATAAACACCACGTCACAGCAGCAACTTCTGTTTCTCTCCAGGTGTCAAGCGCTGTTGCTCAGAGATGGAGGAAGGACAACTTGATTTGACCAGTCGCTTTTCCCCCTACTGCATGTTCTCGGTCAGGTATACCGATGAGAATTACCGCCGGCTGCTGAACCTCAGTGAATACAACATCCTGAACAACTCACAGATGATTATGCAGGCCTTGCAGATAGCGATGCAAAGGAGGATGCAAAACATGTGCTAATCACCCATCCCACTGCCCCTATCTTCTGTCATGCTCTAGGACACAGAAGGGACATAGCTTTTTGAACACTGGCCGTTCTGCACTACAGAAAGAAACTAGCCCAGGTGGCTCAGTGGTTTGTTGGGGTTTTTTTCCATTCCCAAGAAATGGCCTCTATAGGCAAAGACATTGCCTGGGAAATTTTTACGTATGCTTTGTTCCCTAAATTAAGGTTGTCTGTAGAACACTCTTTACTAAAATACTTGTTAGATTTTAAAAATAGTGTTATTTTAAGCCTAACTTATTATAATGTATGACATATAGAAAAATCATTTTTTACCACCACAGTGCTACAGTAATGCAACCCAGCCAACACACCTACAGGCCGTAAGAAAGGGGTATAAACTTCTGCTCCCCACAATTCTTCTTCGTGGAACACAAGGTGCATCCAACCCTGGAAAATGAAGAAAACCTGAGACACGACTGGAAGCTGGTATTGGATCTCTGGGTCAACTCAGTTTTGCAGGTGTCCTGAAGAGCAGCTGCAGAGGTTGGAAATGTAAGAGAGACAAGTGTGTGCACACAGCCAGCCCCATGAATCGCATCCACCTCCTGGGCTCTCTTGGGCTGTGAATGAATCGTACGTAGATGGGAAGGAACAACTTAGGAGGAAGTGGTGTAAGGTTTTTCAAGTAGAAATTTTTTTAAAGTGAAAGGTGTAATTTGGGCACATCAAAATTTCCTGTGAATTTATGTCAGTTTTGATTGTTGTGACAGTATATAAAAAAGTCAACATTTTATTTTGACGCTTTCAGAATAAAACACCCTGGATTTTTTTCTCCCAGTTGAGTTACTTCTTATATTAAACTTTCTTTCTTAAATTATAAAGTGCTTGAAATGAAAATATTTTACTTCTATTAGACAATGAAAACTTTGTTGTTTTACTCAATGCAATTTGTTTCAACAGTTTAGGACATATGCTCATCAAGAAAAAAGCTTATTTGTTTAGTTCTGCCTGTTCAAACTGTGCAGATAAAGAGGATTGAGTTAGTCTGCAACAACTAAGAACATCTTAAAACAATCTGAACAGACCCTCCGTGCGATCTAGCATAAATCCACCAATAACATTTGTTGTGGGTTTGCATTTTTAAACTTTGTCCATTTTCCCTTTTATGGAAAATATTTTTTCTGGACTGCTGAAAGTGCTGAGGGTGAGCTGTAAAAATTATAAATCCATAACAAGCTTTGCATTCCAGGAGCAAGTCAAACTAAAAATACTTTTTTTTTTATTAATAAGTTTTGTGGCCTAATGACAAATAGGAAAATTTTGAACAAAGAGTCTATTCAGTGAAAAAAAATCTATCAACTAGATGTCATAATCTAGGGCTAAAATAAACCAGGGAAAATGCTTGAGTGAGTTGAAACATTTCATGTTAATATTTTACAAAACATCTTTGTTTTGAAACATAGCTTCTTTTTAATAGACCACCTACCTCATCAGCCCAGGGAACCCAACCTGAAAATAACAGGTTTCATTTACAGCCAAATAACATGTTTGGCTTGGTGCAAAATGGCACTCTGAGGATTTTCATTTTGGCAAGAAACAATGACAAATTATCTTTACAAAGTGGTTCACAATGACTTTTGGTGATACTTTTGGCATTTATGATGTCAAACCAAAGCCTACTTTTTTGTGCAACTGTAGCATAATGTTGCAAGCCTAAAGATCAGAGCATAAATATTAGCATTTGAAACTCTTTAGATTTTAAACGAATATGCACTTCTGCTGTGTTTTTTTTTTTGTTCTATAGTAGTTTCACCAGTCATAATCATAAATACGGTGCTATGTTAACCCTGGGAATTGCCTCTATTTGAACCTGAAATCCCTGGTGTGAAAAAATAAACACAGGTTTTGGCCATAAACTCATGCCACCTCCAGCTCTGAGGAAATGTTATTTACACACAGATATTTCTTGTATACAATACCGGACAATAAAGGCTTGTTTTCAAAATGAATATTCTGCCTTGCTCCGCATATTCAGGCATTTCAGTAATATGCTCCAGGTTCACAGTATGTTCCTTGTTCCAGGAAAACAAAACTTGTTGTTATCTTTGCAAAGAGCATAAGATTATACCAAATATTTGCTGTGAGCATTGTGGGTAAAGGAATGTCTCAGAGACAGATTGCAGGGGTACAAAGCGAGCCATGGTCCCTCCCTCCCACAAGGGCTGTCTCTGATGTGGATTGCAAATGTTATTTGTGAAAATGAGAGGTTTTTGGCCATTGGCACTGTGGGAGTGACAGCCTCAGAGCCCCAGTCCTGGTGAACAGTCTGGTCTATAGCTTAGCCCTTCAAGGAGATGTTGTAATAAAGCACTGCCTTTAACTATGACTGAAAGATGCCGATGTTGCCAAGGGTTTTCTATGACCTAATGAAAAATGCATTTCATCAAGCTACATCATTGCAGCTGGCACACGGAGGAAACATGCCACGTATGTAGACACAACTCTTCCTGATGTTGTGAAATAACATAGCCTACAGCAAAAATTTATTCTACCAAGTTGACCGTGATGACTGTTGATATTATTTTGCAGGGGAATGCTCAAAGGGGAACTGTGCTGGCTGGTAGCAACATTTAACCAGTAAGCTCAAGAACGCTCAGGGAATGGGTAACTTTGTGCTCATAGACAGTGTACGAGGAGAGCAGGGAAGCCAAAGGATTCCCTTGCCCCAGAGATTTTAATTTATGACCTGTGGAAGATACAACGGCTTTTGGCTGCCCTTTTTAATCCTGTTCCAGTGAGTTGGGACCCACGCCGGTTTCGATGGCCCAGGGCTCAGTTGGGTGCTCACAGAGGCAGGTGCAGGTGTCTTGCTGTGGCGGTGGCTTCGCAGGTGTGCTGAGGATGGTGCAGAGGCTGGTGTGCAGCCGGTGCTGAGTTTTGCCTCTGGCTGGCAGGGTTTATTGGGTCAGACACAGGTGCTTAAATGCAGCTAGATTACAGCCAGAATCAGCCTGAGCTGGAAAGTGGTGCAGAAGCATTCACAGGGGCTGGAGCTAAGCTAAGGAAACTCATTGCTTCAGGACTCTTCGTCTAAACAAAAATAATAATAATGAGCCATAGGAAAGAAGGGGGAAAGGATACAACTTGAGGAGAGACCCAGCCCTGCTGGACCAAGGCTGAGTAGATACAAACCACCATATGAGTGTGTCTGCTCTGCACACCTAGACCTGGGATTGGAGCGATGTGTGGTACAGAAAGCCTTAAACTGGTTTTTGCAAGAACCAATTTAGTTTGAGCGCAATAGTGTTGTCCCTTTTTTTCATTAGCTGTTTTATCCTATCTCCTTACTGTCACAGAGAACCTAAATCCAATTAATGTGCTGTTGCTGCATCTTATTGCAGAGTATGTATTTCTGTAGGCTTTGAGGTCTTGCTAAGTGGAAAATTCAGTGCTCACATAAAAGGGCATACTTCTCTTAGCATTAGTTATAAACCTGCCATTGGCCACTATTGGGCAAAGTGACTCAAACAGCATACTTCTACCTACTGTATAGGCAAAGGTATTTTTTCCTATTTATTTGACCACAGGATTCACCTTCCTAGCATAAGAAAATGGGAGGGGAATAACTACGTTTAAGAAATCAGGCAGAGGTGGGGCTCTGAGTCAGTTTATAAAACAGTTGCTCACCTGTGTATAAGACATTTAAACTATTGGTGGCTGTGGAAGCTGCGAGATGTGAAATTGCATTGCCACAGATAAGACTGGACGTGTATATGGCAGTGACCACAATGGAGCAAGATGGCATTTTGTCTCAGGTAAGAAGAGTGCAGAGCAAAGCAAGGCATCTGGGATCTCAGCTGGTTATGCTGCACATAGTGCAAAGGTGGTACTACTTTCTTGACCTACCATTGACTATAAATGACTCTGTGTGGGATGAAGGAAGTCAGTGCCTCAAGAGCTCATTATCGAAATCTAAAAAATGATAGCAAAAAAAAAAAAATAGGAAGGAAGTGAAAACTACTTGGGGAGTAAAAGTTTATTTACAAAGGGAGCATTTTGTATATTTAGGGGCTTTTTTCATTTTAGAGACATGATACATGCAACTTCAGAATAAGTATTAAACAGTATGGAAATGTGCTTCAAGGTGAAAGATCAATGATGGGGTGTGTTGACAGGAGACAGGTATGCTGTTCCTTTAACAGCCAGGGCTGGGAGCTGCCTTCCCTCCCCTGTGTCATGCAAAGGGTGGACCTTTTGGTGGCTGCTGCACCTCTGCTGGGGCTTACTGGGACAAGCACGGCGCAGGCAGCGGCACCGGGCACAGCAGGAAACACCTGTACCTGCCAAGGCTCTGCGGCCAGCACGGACCATGGGCTCCCGTCCACTGCTGTTCTGTGGTTCTCAATTCCCTATGAGGATTGCTTTTAAGAGACAGGATGGTTTTTCCAGGGGTAACGTCGGCACTTCTTGTTGCAGGAGCTGATCACTCAAACCACTCGGCTAAGAGAAGGAATTATGAGGCTGAATCCTGATGGGGAGCAGTCGACTCCTGTTACAAAGGTACTGCAAAGGAGAATTTCAAAAGAAAGCTGTAAAGGAGACTTTCCTGCTGGGTGGAGCCTGGGTGAGAACAGATAAAGTTCAGCCTCTGCCAAACAGTCTAATTAGCTGCCATAACCCATCCAGCTTCCCCCATGAAACACTGTCCCACTTATCATTTTGATCGCTTCACTTAGGCAGTCTTGCTTCACATTAAAGTCCTAGTGCTGTTTTCTATCCTTGGCACATGGGAAATGAACCCTGTTTTAACAAGGCTAATATCTTTAAAAGGATGGGTTGGAATAGGCTTTCTGCTACATATGTCTTACTAAAGCACAAGGGCAAATTTACTGTCAGTGTAGGTAGTAATAGCTGTGAAATTGTGCCACTTACTCCCTCAAAGAGTATGGCACAACCTTGAAGTGGATTTTTCAATGCCTGATTTCCTGGATTAACCTAATAGTTTTCCAGGAGA